CGGCCAGCGCCCATGGCCGGCTCATGGCCAGCTTTTCATCCACCAGTGCCCCCAAGTCCCTCTGGGCAGGGCTGCTCTCCATCCTTTCCTCCCCCAGCCTGTATGGATCCCGGGGGTTGCCCTGACCCAGGGGCAGGACCTTGCACTTGGCCTTGTTGAACCTCATGATAGAGCAGCTTCTAAGTGAACAACTTCTTATTGTCTTCAGAAAGAAGGTTTTTCATTTTCTCCACGAGGTGCTCTGTGGCAGAGCTTTCTGGGCACGTAGGTGCCGGCTGGTGGTCGCTGACACTATTGGGAGGGGTGAGCCTCTTAACATCGCTACCAAACCCCCCAGATTTTTCCCATGGAAAGTTATAACGTCCACTTCATAGGGGGTTAGACCAGACAACTGTCAGGTCCTTCCAGGGCAAATTATCCTGTGTTTGTAGGAAATGAAAGCTCTCCAGGGAGTTAGACAAGAAGTTAATTCTGGAATAGGGGGACTTTTCATCCACCTGGAGGTGGAGGAGGAATTTTAAAAGTGTCAGAAACAGGGCTCTGTACAAGGCACTTGGTCCAGGTGTCGGAGATATTTTTTGAGAAAAAAAACCTGAAACCTGTGACATTTTGCCTCCACCTTTGTCCTACCCCAGAGAAGATGCTTCTCCCCAAAGTCAAACTGATGTCCACAAGCACCATGCGAGAACATCTGGCTCATTCACTTGCCAGAAGGTCATTTACTGAGTCGTGAATATCTCATGATTTCATGATGGCATCACCGAGCGCTTTGCTTTGAAGGCTTTCTATCAAGCCACGGGTAGGATGAGGTTAAGGGAAATAACAGTGGAAAGGAAACAGCTTCCCCACCCCTGGTGTTCTCCCTTTGAGAATGATAGCTTCTTTGGGCAGTTTGTTCCACCTGGCCGCAATGATCCTGGTGTCCCATTCTCGGCGGGGGGGAAGGAGTGTGGTGAGGAGGCTGCACACAAAGCCAGATGTGCAATGTGGGTCAGTCTGCCTGGCGAAGAGGGTAGAGAGGAAAGGTTGGAGCTGGTGGCAGGTCTCTGGCCCAGCAAGGGGTTGGCTGAGTAGAACTGTGAGATGACGTCTGTCCTGGTGACCGTCTGGACCTGCCCAGGCAATGGCCCATGTCTTCATAGAATCCCAGAATGGTTTGGGCTGGCAAAGCCCTTTAAGCTCCCCCAGCCCAACCGCTCCCCTACCCCTGCCATCCCACCCCCAAACCCCGGCCCTCA